AGGAAAGGTGTTCCTGTTACGCATCATCTCTGGTGATTGACACAATTGTCGATGTTCCAAACATCTCATTCCCAACCAGTTCAAGGAGTGGGTGAGCCATAGTTTTGAGGTCCTTTCTGTCTCCTAGAGATCCAGAACAAAACTGTTCCAGATAAAGCTCATTCCTGTCAGTGCTTTTACTTGTCCTAAGGATGTACAGCATGTTCCAGTCTTCTGGGTTGACTGTCTGGAACTAAAATAATGAAACAAATTACAGTATTTCTGAAGTGTATCTATGCTGTTGAGTTGTTGTACTCAAAGCACACCGGTTTCAAAAACCAGGAGCAGTCTGTTTAACATTACTGTCCAACTTTTACTTCCTAGGCTAAATACCATTTACTCTTGGGCCAGCAGCATTTGCTTTTCATACTGCTCTGACCTGGCTTGAACTGGCACATCTGGATCTGTAGTGAGAAGCTCCAAATGCCCTGCCAGCGACTCCTCTCTGGAATTTCTTGTTTTTGCCAAGTACTTTTTCAGCAGCTTGTCAGCACAACCTACTGTATAGACATCTGGGAAATTCACACTGTGTTATCACTGCAGTCTCTGAGCAGAGAGCTGTGTGCCACTGAGGCTGGTGGCCTTCTGTGCTGCTCAGAGGACGGAGCCAAGACTATCGAGATTTCCTGAAAAGCCCACGCTCTGAACGCATGTTTAGGCAGATCTATATGAAACAATGCAGCATCTCACAGGGATGCACCAGACTGTTCCATAGGAATGTACCATCGTATAGCTGGGTGCTCTTGACTCTACAAGGAACAGCTTTTTGGAGTGTGTGTATGTGTGTGTGCCAAATCGTTTTGACACAAGTCTGTTGTAGAAGCCCCTAGTTCAAAAGGGAAGGGTCTGATTTGGATATGTGATCTTGTTGGATATCTTTATTTCCTTCTGTTCAGTGTGGGTGGGTTGTCCTGGCTGCTCCACTTAGTGTCGGACATTTGGCCTTTAGTGGGATTGACAGTTTTTCTTAAATCCTAAAATTGACACTGAATACCATTTATAAGTGGTACAGGAAAGGGAAGTGAAGGTCCTTTCATGGGGTGAGAAATGAGAAAGGAATGAGATCCATGTGCTGCAAAATAGATTCTAGATGATGCAAAATAGGTGTGTTGCACTAACTAGATACTACAGTACGTCTGTAACTGTGAGCTTGCCTTTAACTGGAAAACCAGAAATAAGTCATATTGTCTTATGCAGGAAGAATAATTGTGAAAGCTCTTAAATTTCCACTCTCTAAAGCCTTCTCTTCATCTTAGTGTCTGAGTGGTTACAGCTTCCGTATTTTTGTTTATTATATATGCCTTGCATGTGTCATTCCAAGCATCTTTGGGCACAAGTTTGCTGCTCTCTCGAGTCAGCTTTAGGCAAAGGGAAATGAGGCAGATATCTGGAATAGCAAAGTCTCACCTTGGAATAGGAAAGAGGGAGAAATAGATTGAGACCTTGCAGACATCGAAGCAGTGTCCATGGCTCCATGCCCAGCCTGGTGGCCCAGGGCAGCTCCCTGAGACGTGATCCTTCACTCATAGCTCAGGGCAGTGAGCCTGCATGATCTTGCCTGCCCCCATAAACAGATGGCCCTGGCCTTACACCAGTATGTGCAACCAGGCTCTGCACCTGCCCTCATCACACTCCCTGCGGCTGTCTAGGGCATGGGGGAGAAGTCATCCATGTGCCAGGCATCTGTCGGCGAGGTACCTAAAGTTAAGCTACTTTGTCATACCACTACCTGAAGGCATCAGTACTAAGTTATCTATCTCGGTAAGGCCAAGAACAAGCTGTTGGCTCTGGTGGGAGCAGGAACAGAGCAGGAGCACTGTAGTGTCCTACTGCAGGGGCTGGATCAGTCCTTCTCTCAGTGCTGAGCTACGCAGAGAAGGTGGTGTCTTAGAGGGGCAGCCCTGATCCCTTCAGGCACCAATGTGTTACTGGTCCAAAAGGGCAAAATCACTTTGCCCTTATCCTCAGGGAGTCACTGCCCATTTTTACCAGCACTGCAGAGAAACCATGCACAGTGCTCTGTCCCTTCTATCCCACAAAACAGGGCAGCAGGTGTGGCACATTTGAAGTCAGCAGTGCTGCTTGGACCAGGTAGGAGAAGCAGGGGAAAAATGAGTTGCAGAGGGAAGCACCCTCAGAGAACACAAACTACAAGGCACAAGGGGCTGTGTCAGGATTAGAGGTTGGCAAATGCTAAAGGAGTTCAGAGTCTGAGGTCAGGAGACTGCTGCGGTTTAGGTTCTTAGAGCATTAAGCGTTAGTTCCTGTCAGTATGTCTCATTACCAAACAGGAAAGTATCAGAATTAAATCAGCCATGAATTCCATATATATATACATATACATATGTGTGTGTGTGTATATGTATATAGATGTTATATATATAGATCTTTATCTTGGGGAAATATACTGCCAGCATCTTTTCTCCTGCATCTGCTACTCTGAAACATGGACAGACCCTGTCTTTCCTCTCACACTTCCCACTTGGATCCATGCAAAATGCAGACTGCGCTGTCCTCCCTTCTGTATCACCCTCCACTGCAGCCTTTTGTCCACTGAGATCCTGCAAAAGTGAGGGTCTCATGCTTTATTGTCTCTCTCCATCTCTTTCCTCAGGAAAAAAGAGCCCAGACCTTGGAGAATATGATCCCCTCACTCAGGCTGACAGTGATGAAAGTGAAGATGACCTGGTACTCAACATCCAGAAGAATGGGGGGGTCAAGAATGGGAAGAGCCCCCCCGAGGAGGTGCAGGACCCTGACTCCGATGTGGAGGTTGGGATGACAAAGCAGCACACGTCAGAGAGCGTGCCTGAGGGTTATCCTGCAGAGACGGCTGGGAGTTTGGAGCAGAAGGCTGCTCCCTCCCTCATGCCCTACCTGCGCACAGCAATCTTTTTGCTCACTGTGGTGATCTCGATGATTCTTGTGTTGGTGTGCGCATTTCTAATTCCCTGTCCCCCTAGAGACTCGCATAACACCTGGAACCGCAACCTAGGTCAGGGAGCAGGTGAGAAAGCCCCAGGAACAGAATCTGGCGTGGGGGAGGTGGCAGCTCCCAGGCTGGGCATCGGCGGGAGAGACCTATCTGGGAGAGCAAGCTCGGAGCAGAGGCCCCTCCTCACTGCTGCAGATGCTCCGAGGTAATAGACAGGCGGCTGTGTCCTGCTAACTCTTCAAGCTGAGGCCTGTAAAATCTGGCATCATTAGATAACAGTGACACAAAATCTTCTTTCTCTCAACACCGAAAAACATTTTGACTCTTCTCCCATCCTGCCTTTTTGTCCGGATGGTGTGCTCTGTTCCAGATGGAGATGGCCCAGCCCCCTTTAAAACGTAGCACCTCCCTCTCTACTCCCTGGGCTTCACCAGCGCCTCCACACTGAAGTGTGTGGGTGTGTTTGGGAGGAGAGGGATAGAAATCTCTGTGTCTCCTGACTGGCTCAAGTAACCTTATTTCTTTTGTCTTGCTTGAATCCATAAATCAACATTCGGGATCTTTTCCCATCCTATACAGGTCTCTGGTAACATTCCTAAAGTATCTTCAGTTCTGACTTCTGCAGTAGAGTGGTTTGTGAAATAATTTCTGCCAAGTCTAGGTATGTCTCTCCCTCCTTGCTTTCTGCTCCTGGCTTCCAAATCTAAGCCTTTCCTAAGATACGTGGCTCCTACATCACCTCAGAAAGTGAAGTGGGAAACAGAAATCTTCTTCTGTTAGCTCCTCCATTTTTTCCTTTCCTTTCTCTTTACCCAGATGCTACATTTGTGCCTTTCCATGCAATGAAAGATCTTGCTGTGGTGTGAGCTGCCTGGCATTGTTAGTTCCCTTGCAGATTCTGTGAGGCTTGGCTATCCATGAGTCTCTTTTCTGGGCCAGCTCTCCTCTCACACTGTGTAAAATGGGCTGGGTGGCCTTCTCGACAGCAGTTTGGTGATTCTCTGTGACTGTTGCAGGTGGTGTGTTATCCCCACTGGAGCTGTGTGATGTGAATGGCGATGGACTCCCTGACATCCTCATTGTCTTCACTGCCTTGATGAATGCTAGCGTCATGGGTAAGTTCCTTTCCATTCCTCTTTCCATACGTGCCAGTACGGAATGTCAGTTGTATGTTTGTCTTACACACAGGAAGAGTTCCTGCCACTGCAAATCCACTTTTTCAGAGTTCCTTAAAATGGCTAATGAACTGTGCCTATGCTTTGTCATGCTGCTCATAATTTTCATTGCAAGCCTGTGCTCCCATACCTGTTGGGTCAACGTCATCTATTTCCCCTCATCTCATCCTGGGGCAATTCTGTCTCTTTGTCCTGGATTTGTGTGCACTTGTTTTGGGGACAGAGATAAAGCAATCAGAAAGCACTGCTCTACAAATAGCAATTGGAAATAAGGTGGGTTTTATTCCCCCCTTGTTATCTCTCAGAGCTTTTCACAAAAGAGCTCAGTCTAACTACCTCCATTTTACAGGCACAGGGAAGGGAAGCAGCTTGAGAAAGGTCACAGATGAGATTCAGTGGTAAAGTCTGGACTTTTTCCTGATCTGTGGTCCAGTGTCCTGGTCATTACCAACGGTGGTTGGCGACAGGAACAGTCATGGCAGAGGTGACTTTTGGAGCGCTCTGGTTCTTCTGAACTAGCCAGTTGCTTGCTAAAAGGGAGCATTATGGATTTTTTTACAGCAGCTGTAGGTCGGTGTCACAGGAAACACCCTCACCTTGCTGCCTTTTTCTCCAAGTCATTCCATATCCTTGCCAGGCTCCAAATTGTTGTTAATTCACAGGCAAAACACTTGGTAATCATGGGGAAGCTACTGTGCCTGGCTGTTTAGCAGGTATTGCTCTGTTTCCTCCTGTCTGCTTTTGCTTTCTCTGTTAACCCTCACACCTCTCAGGTAACGTAGCAGCAGCCTACTGATACTGACCACTGTTATACAGGGGCTGCCAAGCCCAGTGGCATCCTGTTGCACTGGGTTTATAAGTCCTGGAAGTTCCCAGCTGCCTGCTGTGCTGTGTCCGCCCATCCTGGCATCACCTGAGATTATGTGAATCTATTCAGTCTCAGAGACGTATTCAGGGAGCAAACATACATTGCACTGCCTGAAGAGAAGTCTTGTGGGAGCAAAAGGAAGACCAACAGTATCCTGGGGTGCATTAAAAAGAGTGTAGCCAGCAGGTCGAGGGAGGTTCTCCTCCCTCTCTGTTCTGCCCCGCTGAAGCCACATCTGGAATACTGTGTCCAGTTCTGGGCTCCTCAGTTCAAGAAAGACAGGACAAAAACCAGACACTAAAGCAGGTATAAGCATGTCACAGCCCTAAACTCACATAGCTGGACATTATCCATCCTGTAGCTTAGGCTTAGAGCATTCACACAGTATCCGGTAGGGTAAGCTTGGGATAGGTACCTGATGGAGTAAGCTATGACATGGTTAGCTGTTTCTCCAGCTTGTACACACAACAGCTGTGAACTCCATTCAGGAGTTAGTTGTTCTTGGTCCTTTCCAAGCTAATGAAGAGAACTTGGGCTGGGGCAACACCTTAGCATAAGCCAGATGATTTTCAGTTTGA